GCTAAACTATCTCAAATCGTGCATCCGGGAGGCCTTCCGCTTACACCCATACCATGCTCTTAACGTACCCCATGTCGCCATGGCGGACACAACTATTGCTGGATACACCATCCCCAAGGATAGCCACATACTTTTAAGCCGGCTTGGACTTGGCCGCAATCCCAAGATCTGGACTGAACCACTGGAGTTTCAGCCTGAGAGGCATTTGAACACTGCGAATGTACTTCTCACTGATCCAGGCCTACGTTTCATTTCATTTAGCAGTGGGAGGAGGGGTTGTCCTGGGATTTCACTTGGTACCTCTATGACAATGATGTTGTTCGCAAGGATGTTGCAGGGATTCACTTGGACAAAGCCTCCCGGCGTTAAGAGTATCAGTCTCCAAGAACGCAATGCGGGCCTTACACTAGCTGAACCCCTTGTTCTGCAAGCTACACCAAGATTGGCTGCACATCTCTATACGATCCAATTAAATAGATTTAGTGTGCGTGTTCTCATTTATGTTTCAATAAAATGTATCTGGAACTAGTGTATGTTACATGTTTCTGGCGCTACGTTCGGTTCTCTTGTAATGTTATGACACTACATGTGTGCAGAAACAAAGAAGCAATCGGTGATTGCATCACTAATGTAATGTGTGTACTTATCATTATGTAAAAAAAACCTCTGTACTTTCCATTATGGTGTACCATGCAAATAATCCTTGGAATTGCACGAAAGTTTTATGTTTATGTTGTATACATGCCTGGATGTACAATTGTGTGCCCAGCTTTGACTCCATCTTACCATTATGTCATTCATGCATTAATATGTTCTGTATTGCCAAATTGTTGTTCTATGAACTAAGTTTTTTTACTCTATTAACTAGGGCTCCTTTTGTTGTGAGAAATCTTTCCTTCTGAGATATAAAAGCTCTATATCACTGGGAATATGCCGGTCCGATGTGTGACCCATTCTAGGTAGTGGCTTGGATGAGGCATCCGGCTTTAGATGTTAGGCTTTGGTGCGATGTCTGTTTGGTATTAGGCCCGGACATTCGGCACCCCTTCATCAAGGGATAGGAGTAGCAACAGGCGTTGCCAAGATGGTGGCTTCAGACTTATTGATGTATTATCATGTAAGGTCTTTGGAAATAATTAATAATATGGCTACATGCATTGTCCAGATGCAGAGGTCGGGGGTACATCCTCCTTTTCTTAAAAAAATATAAGTTGTATCACGATGCATTTGAGTAGAAAGAAGCTTATACATAATGATTAACGAGTCGGGCAGGTTCGCCATCAACGAAAAGGCGAAAAAAGGAAAATGCTCATCCTAATCAGGCTCAAGGCCCAGTTCATTTCCCTTTGAAACAACCAAAATCCTGAATAACTAGACTGCAGTAGATTCTGCTTAATAATCAAGTGAAACAGGTTGTCCAAAGAGATGGCTTGATGCTTGAAAATGATGCGAGAATTCTTATTTTGGACGTAATTTTCTAGTTTTCATATGTTTAATGAATTGTATTTTGCAGGAGCGTGTATTGTCAGGCTAGTGGTTATTCTTGATAATGCTACGAGTAAGTTCTTTTGTTTGGTTTGTACTGTCAGCTTTTCGTTTATTGCTGCAGGTTCTTCATTTCAATAATTTCACTTCATTTCATCAGTGCAACAACAGAGACAGAAAGAAAAAATTATTGCTGAATTACACGGGCAAAGTTGCTATACTAATTACACTTTTCGGCATAGACTGCAAATTAGTCTAAAGAACATAATCGCCGTTATCCGCAGGTGTCTATGGAATCAATTATCTACCTGTGGCATAGATCATATCATACATCGTACAAGTTGGATCCATGCAATGAATTCTATATCTACTATTACAAAAGGAAAAAAGATCAGTTTTAAGTATTCTATAGAATAGGTGGAGATAGAGTTTCCTAGTTTACATTGTACCAATCTGCTCGTTTTTCTTTTAGGTAGCATGATATTCGGGAATTAAAAAAGTGATTGTTCCTAAAGTATTTTCAGTTTTTCTTAATTTTCTTAGATTAATTGTGCATTTTGTTGAATTTTATTTTTATTTTAATCATTAATTTCATATTATAAAAATGTGGTAACTTTTAATTTTGCTGGAAATTATAATCTAATTGTTTTTTATTGTTTTCGAAACACTTATGGCCTTTCGGTTTACTTCTGTCTCTTTTTGTTTAAATTTTTGTCCGGCGGACAGTCAGACCTGCAAATCCGTTGGAATGCAGTTTTTATCAGTTGTTGATTTATTTTATATGTTTTTAAGAATTTGGTTATCTATATATTTCATTATGCCCAATGATCTGCCATGTGTTCTGCTGACAATCTAGTCGATGGTGAATTATGAATCCCTAATCCAAATGTGGAGCCATGTTAACACCAAATACAAAATAGTACATGTCTCCGGGGAAAGGGCAGGTCTGAGACTGGGACTCCCAGCCACCTCATTTAAGAAATAACTCCAACTGAGTTTTGAGCTAGCAATGCTCGAGTTTTATTTGTTTTACAAGTTCTCTTTATTAGTTTCATTAACTTTAAAAATATGCAGAAACAATGTTTATAAATCATATGCGTATATGTATCTCAAAAGGTACTTTCGAAATATGTAATTTTGTTGATTTGAGAACTATGCTATTATTGAATTTTGCTGGCTGATATAGTTGATGGTGGATTTATTAATTCCTGTTTATAGCCTGCAGACGTGGAGAATCGATAGTCATGCACTTTTGCTAGATTTAATTTCCACAATACTCTTTCGGGTTCCAATAAGAAAAGTCCTCGTGTTCGATACTAACACGGTTTCCTGTGCTAAATTACATACCAGCATGCTATCCTAATCTAGGAGAGTAGTTTTGCATAAAGGGCGCCTTTATTGACTCATAATATGGCATCTAGGAGATACGTACAATGAGTACACACAAGGTTTCTGCGTGGTTAAGATGTACATCACGGCAATCGACGTCTTCTGGTCTATATCAATGACCTCCTGGTCATTGCTTTTACATGTTCCCTAGTTTAAACAAGTTTGATCCGCAGCGGCAACGAGCTTTGTTTGTCACATGTGGCCAGTGGATGCATGGCGAAGAAGATTTTGGTACCCTGAAGGGTTGGATGTAGTTTTCAATTTTATAGAGAGCTCTTGTAAGGGTTTGTGCTACTTAATATAGGTGGCTTTTTCGGAAAAGGAAAAGATGCACACGGCCCACACCTGGTTCTAGTAGGCTAATTTATTTTTCCACACTTGATTATTGGTTGTATCAGTGGTGTTGCTTTAC